TATTCCGGAAATATTAAGCGGGACGGGGAAATCAGAAGCACGAACCTGTGACATTCAATGATGACGGAAGACAGAGCAAGCCGAATCTACCAGATGGCAGAGGAGACGCGCTGTGTGGGAGTGGGGTGGAGGGGGATATGTGAGAGGGGGTTAGAGATACTCTCGCCTCGCTATACCTTCCTTCTGTCTTGTGGCATACCAGCTGAGTGTTATAAATCTGTAACTGATCCCTATCTTTTGTTTAAAAATAAATAAATTTTGAAATAGATCTGTTAGCGATAAGACTAACACAGGGAAAGTGAATATGGTTTTACGCCACTTTTAGCAATATTACAGCAATATCACGGCGGGGGACACCAGAAATAGGCTTCACATATGGTACCCATGTGGGGAATAGAACTCGGACCTTCTGCGTGACGAGCGAACGCTTTAACCACTAGGCTCCCCCACCGCCCTCGTGTTAAAAAGGGGCCTTAACATACAGGTACATCATAACACACGTCCGTAGATAGGAATTCACGAGTTGGGCAGAGTACAAACTAAAGCTACATTCGAGAGTAAATATCATTGTAGATATGAGCAGAGTTCGTTGACCTTCATTGATGTTATTTATTCCTTCTTTGGCCAGGTACGTTATTCGTAAAAAAACAAAACATGTGACAATACAACGTGTTTTAAAGCAATGTTACTTTTCATAGACAAGAAAGACACTCAGCTGTTGTGACAAGTTGATTATACTTATGATACAGCTCAATTATGAACGGATGAGGTTTTCAGTTGACGGTGTTCTTCAAGAACTATGACAAGTGATGATAGCATGGCTTCGAGACACACGATACAAACTAAGGAAGGGGCAGGACATACATGATACTTATCGGTGACGTTTTCGAGATACACGATACTTAGAGATGTTATACTCGAGATACATGATACTTAAAGGTGACATATTCGAGATATGTGATACTGAGTCAGGGCATGACCTGGTACGAGGTGACTGATAGTCTGATAAGAGGACTGAAAGTCACTAAAAGAAAGGACTTCGGTGTATGAGATTTTGCAATTTGGTGGGGGTGGGGGGTGGGGGTTGGGGGTGGGGGGTTTATATCAGTTAGATAAATAGTGCATAGTGTTGCACTAAACATGGTGCCAGAAGACGAATGACTGCACTGGACTGCCATCACCTGCCATCTCTTCCATACGTCGTAATAGGCGAGTAACGGGATCGGGTGGTCAGGCTCGCTGTCTTGGTTAATGCATGTCATCGATCCCAATTGTGTGGATCGAGGCTTATGATATTAATCACTGGAATGTCTGGTCCAGCCTCGATTATTTACAGACCACCGTCATACAGCTGGAATATTGCTGAGTACGGCGTTTAACAACAAACCAACCAACCAACCAGCCATACGTAAGTCAGTTAAAGGGGACAAAGGTTGTATCATTTCACATACCAGCAAGTCTGTTTCACGTGGTTCAGAGCCTGCTTCGTTTACCTGTGATGTTTACTGTTATGATGTAAAACAACTAATGTAGCAGTTCCCCTCATCAGTGATAATGTCACAGTTTCACTCTGCACGGAGTACAACGTCTAGACCAGCCCTTAGCACACGACCTTCGAGAAGTGTCGACTCCTTCAGGCAGGACTTTGACAGCACATTGACTACCGGTAGCCTGACGTAATATATCCGACCAAAGGCAGCAATGCTTTTACAAATAAACTTTCATCTTATTCGTCCTGTTTACAATGCGATCTTAGTTCTAAGTCAATTTTAAATGAGAGTATATTTTTACGCCGCTTTTACCTGCGTTTTTACTATATCATTTCAAGAAACAGCAATAATCACTTCAATTTAATACTTATGTGAGAATCGAACACTCCGTAGTCAGCGCTTAGGCTAAACCGCTACCCTATGACCTATGTTAGATGATAGTGTGGTACAGCTACCCCGCTACCCTATGACCTATGTTAGATGATAGTGTGGTACAGCTACCCCGCTACCCTATGACCTATGTTAGATGATAGTGTGGTAAAGCTACCCCGCTACATGACCTATGTTAGATGATAGTGTGGTACAGCTACTCCGCTACCCTATGACCTATGTTAGATTATAGTGTGGTACAGCTACCCCGCTACATGACCTATGTTAGATGATAGTGTGGTACAGCTACCCCGCTACCCTATGACCTATGTTAGATGATAGTGTGGTACAGCTACCCCGCTACCCTATGACCTATGTTAGATGATAGTGTGGTACAGCTACTCCGCTACCCTATGACCTATGTTAGATGATAGTGTGGTACAGCTACCACGCTACCCTATGACCTATGTTAGATGATAGTGTGGTACAGCTACCCCGCTACCCCATGACCTATGTTAGATGATAGTGTGGTACAGCTACCCCGCTACATGACCTATGTTAGATGATAGTGTGGTACAGCTACCCCGCTACCCTATGACCTATGTTAGATGATAGTGTGGTACAGCTACCCCGCTACATGACCTATGTTAGATGATAGTGTGGTACAGCTACTCCGCTACATGACCTATGTTAGATGATAGTGTGGTACAGCTACCCCGCTACCCTATGACCTATGTTAGATGATATTGTGGTACAGCTACCCCGCTACCCTATGACCTATGTTAGATGATAGTGTGGTACAGCTACCCCGCTACCCTATGACCTATGTTAGATGATAGTGTGGTACAGCTACCCCGCTACCCTATGACCTATGTTAGATGATAGTGTGGTACAGCTACCCCGCTACCCCATGACCTATGTTAGATGATAGTGTGGTACAGTTACCCCGCTACCCTATGACCTATGTTAGATGATAGTGTGGTACAGCAACCCCGCTACATGACCTATGTTAGATGATAGTGTGGTACAGCTACCCCGCTACCCTATGACCTATGTTAGATGATAGTGTGGTACAGCTACCCCGCTACCCTATGACCTATGTTAGATGATAGTGTGGTACAGCTACCCCGCTACCCTATGACCTATGTTAGATGATAGTGTGGTACAGCTACCCCGCTACCCTATGACCTATGTTAGATGATAGTGTGGTACAGCTACTCCGCTACCCTATGACCTATGTTAGATGATAGTGTGGTACAGCTACCCCGCTACCCCATGACCTATGTTAGATGATAGTGTGGTACAGCTACCCCGCTACCCTATGACCTATGTTAGATGATAGTGTGGTACAGCTTCCCCGCTACATGACCTATGTTAGATGATAGTGTGGTACAGCTACCCCGCTACCCTATGACCTATGTTAGATGATAGTGTGATACAGCTACCCCGCTACCCTATGACCTATGTTAGATGATAGTGTGGTACAGCTACCCCGCTACCCTATGACCTATGTTAGATGATAGTGTGGTACAGCTACCCCACTACCCTATGACCTATGTTAGATGATAGTGTGGTACAGCTACCCTGCTACCCCATGATCTATGTTAGATGATAGTGTGGTACAGCTACCCCACTACCCTATGACCTATGTTAGATGATAGTGTGGTACAGCTACCCCGCTGCCCTATGACCTATGTTAGATGATAGTGTGGTACAGCTTCCCCGCTACCCTATGACCTATGTTAGATGATAGTGTGGTACAGCTACCCCATGACCTATGTTAGATGATAGTGTGGTACAGCTACTCCGCTACATGACCTATGTTAGATGATAGTGTGGTACAGCTACCCCGCTACCCTATGACCTATGTTAGATGATAGTGTGGTACAGCTACCCCGCTACCCTATGACCTATGTTAGATGATAGTGTGGTACAGCTACCCCATGACCTATGTTAGATGATAGTGTGGTACAGCTACCCCGCTACATGACCTATGTTAGATGATAGTGTGGTACAGCTACCCCGCTACCCTATGACCTATGTTAGATGATAGTGTGGTACAGCTACCCCATGACCTATGTTAGATGATAGTGTGGTATTTGGCTACAGCTCGTCATCATCCTAAGCCCCCTTTGGGCACTTCTCAATTCAACGAATTCACTAAAAGATACCTTCCGGGGAGTTGTGAGTGATGTGATTTGTGTTGAAGGCTGCTTAAATTTTTTTCCAGCAATATGTGTTTCACACGTTGTACCCATTTTGGGAATCGAACCCGGGCTATTGCGTAACGAGCGAACGCTTCAACCAAGGGTTACCCAGGCCGGGAGAGACAAACGATCGCAACATAGCTATGCATATGCACGTTTAGATATTAGGCCGCATGGTAAATAGACCACACGACGGTTTACAACATACAGATAGGTATTACTAGTCCTGCACAATGACCGTAGAATATATGTATTCTATGAAAAAACAACAATCTAGAAACGTATACAAAAGCAAATCTAGCCAGCTCTAGCTTGCTCTATTCAACAAAGGGAAAATTATTTTTATTTATAGTCGAAAAGGGTATTGTGTAATATAAGTTTCATAAACTAAATGTTAGCCTAAGGTATTACACGTGGAGAACTATAATTCAGAGTAAAAGGTTCTCACAAAACGATACACCCGACACCACAATGCGGCCATTCTGTGTGAGCCTCTCGGCAGATTCATCCTCGCAAAAAGAGTGAAATTGATACAAAAGATGGCACAGAAATGTTCCCAGTTATGCGATACAAGCGTTCATGCAAGTGTGGGGAACATTCACACAGTTTTGTGGTGTTTAACAACTGTATTTACCTTGCTGTCGCTAAGATTATCGTCCCCCTACGTCAGGGAAGCTATTTGAGAGGTCAGGCGATTGTGAATGAATATACAATTATGCTATAAAACCGAGCGTGAGAGAAAAGTGAAGAAAATCCAAGCGTATCATAAGTGTAAGCCAGAGCTGTGGAAATCGCGCTGTGCAGCCGACACGGGTTATGTAGATGGGTATATGAATCGTAAAGCAAAAATATCGGCAATTAAAATATAAAGGATTCTCTATCTATAGCGACCCTGTTGAAGTCATCAAATTTCACAACGTCTCGGATCCCATTGGTTCACACTGTCGTTTGCGGAGAGAAAAAATCGTCTTAGTCCACTGTATGATGCCTGCTAGCGCATACACGGAACGGATCGTCTGTCGGTGTTTTGGAATATGATTACACCTACGTTTTTTGTGGGGATGTGTTGTGTTATTATTAGTGTAGAGCTACGATACAGTGTGTGGAGAAATACATTTAATCAAGCTGTAGCTGTCGATAGTTGCTGTAGTGTTGACATTGGCAAAACACCTTCCCGTTTGAACTAACGTGTGTCCTGTGTTAATCACCTTCGCACAAATGATTTCCCTCTTTGAGTCGAAGCAGTGGGGGACAAATAGCCTAATTGGATTACCAGGTCAGTGGAATGTGTGTACAGCTATAATATCAAGTCTATCACAAGTTGGAAAGACCACAGCATATTTAAAGGGACAGGCCAAGGTTCAAGTGGCTGTTACCTATATGGTGTAAAAACAGCACTGGGTGTTTTCGCGGACCGTTAATAGAGAAATTGAAAGGGATTGTTGTTTAGCCTGGGTCGGTCGCTCGTGTATTGCATTAGTGGAGGGCGGGAGTCGAGTACGTTTCATTGGTCCACAAGCTATCCTATGTCCAGACGTTGGAGCCTCTCTGGGTCATGGCAGGTCAGCCAGTGATTGATTAAGTCACGGATCGATATTATTGATCTCCAGTACTGGATTATCGTGACTGGCTGACGGGGTAGAACCGGGGCGGACCGAGAGCTCGCCGATCATACCCACGTGTCTTGTTGACAACAGTGTGTGTAGGACACATCCAACTTGGTGTGAGCTGTCACACTGCTGGTCTCTCGGCCTTGGAGGTCGGAGTTGGAATACTTCCGTAATTGTTCAATTGTTTCCATCATATATTTACTGCCTCAGCTGTTGTTAGCAACCTCACCTGGAATACCTTGTCTGCAGCAGCGAATTAAGATGTCTCACCCGTCGTCTGTGAATTGACTGAGCGAGCAGACGACCTTTTTCTGGAAGAGTGGAAATTGACGTTGTGGGGACACCCGAGGTTACTCGGCGTGGGTTTTCTGTACTGGATTTGTTTGATGCATTTCAATTTAACGCTGACACGAGCTGACGACGGCATAATTCGGCGCCCGGATACATTGATATAAATGTCATAGCTGAAAAAACATGTCAACATCATTCCACAGTATCGCGGACACCATGACAGCCCAGTACAGGTAAGCTCTGTTTCTTTTCTACATTTCATCTCCAGGGAATTAAATCTGCAATAATGAACCGTTATATGTTAATCCTATGAAAATTCGTTCTTTTTTCATTTTGTTTGAACATCACATACAACATCAAACGAGTCTTTGTTGCGTAATAAAACCCGATCATATTCATCAATCTTTGAAGCAATCTACGAAGCAGTAATGTGAATATGATGCGTTGGCAGAAGCTAGCGAGGAGTGAACGTTTTTTCGGCTATGTATAGCTAAGCCTGTTGGTGGTGTACTGTGTATTGTTGTGTGGTAGCGGGAATATGTTCCCTGTCGTCTGCTACTCAATGAAGTGCAGTTCTTAAAAGGGCGGCAAGGCTACTAGCTGATTCCGTGTCGAAGTTCTATGAACCACAATCTGAATACCGACATTGAGACATATGCATTCCAAAGGGTTCAGATGGGATGGAGGGGTGGAATTAAGTTTCCAATAATCTCTCTCTCTCTCTCTCTCTCTCTCTCTCTCTCTCTCTCTCTCTCTCTCCTGGAGTATTTAAATATCAGGCATTCTGAATACTGTGTCTATTGTCTAGCAGAAGTGCAAGGTTTATAAATACTCGAGAGAATTGCCATTGCCATAAACTTTAGGCCTTGCGTATTTTGGCAATCTATCTTAAATCTCGGTATTCTTCTATCTCCTAATAATACAGGATTATTTACTTGTCAATATATAACCGTACTACAAACTATTCTTGATACGCAAGAATATAACAGTTACAAAGTGCTTGTTATAAACACTCGTACATCACGTGACTGAATATACTCACCTGTCGTGGTTGAGTGTTTGTTTCATCAGATACCACAGTGATATATCTATCAATGTTCATATGTCACCTAGCAAATAGCTAACACACGTCTATTAAACATTTCAATATTCAAATCAAATTATAACACTTAAAAACATCAATTACCTACACGTACCTACCTAGCACTTACACATATTTTAGATGTGTGTCCTGATACATCTGTTTGGACCAGGAGTCCAGAACGTATCCAATCTTAAATCAATTTGTCACGCGATTTGAATAATAATTCAAGGTACACCCTTCAAATGGGAAATGTCGCATACCAACATACCATAAAGTAGGCATACAGCGCAAGGATATAGAGCCCCTCTACTTCATTGTAAGCTGTTTAACAGCCGTGTGGGCTGCAGATAGTGCTGAAACTGTGGCCCTCGTCGTTTAATCGTTGGACAAAACACAATGTCGTAAATGTCTGCAAGTAGTCCCAGATCAGATGTAGCGGACATGAAACATCTTCCATGTTAGCGTCCATAAATTGATTCTCACAGCTTGGCCTCGAGAGTTGTGTAAATTATTGTCTTCACGGCATGTCTTATTGGGATTATAATTGATGTGCAGCGTTTGTTTCAATGTAACTCCATCCCTGTTTAGGACGGTGTTGAAGTGATTACATAGATGGTTTGCGTTCCCTCATATATGCCGTCATATAGCGTCTAGCCCGTGTTCCGCTTGACTAGGAGTTCCAAAATAGGCTTAGGTGACATACACATACTCAAGTCAAATATAAATATACCACAGCGATCTTTTTTCAACCCCAAGGCCTGGGGTTCGTTCCGATATATCTTCGTCTTCTTGATTGCCATGTCACTTACACCTATTGCTGTATACGTTGGTCCTGTTTGATATATACAACTCAGAGAAGTTAAAAAACATCCGAAGAATCGACTGCTCTTTAACTTCTTTTGAGTAGTATATATCCCCACGTGTTATTTTGCTCCAGTCAATGTCCCTGGCGTTGAGTTAGTTGTGTTGTTCCGCCTATTGCATATGTGTACACATAAGTACTCTGTTGGTTATATTCTACGGCGGTGGACTGAAGCCAACTCCATTGATTAATTATGTATTTAGTGATGAAAAATTGCAATTCTCTGAAACTATGAAATAGATCTCTCTTTCTGTGTGTGTGTGTCTCTCTCTCTCCCCCCTCTCTCTTTCTCTCCCTCTCTCTCCCCCCCCTCTTTCTCTCTCTCCCCTCTCTCTCTTTCTCTCTCTCTCTTCGCTTGAGTGCAATTTGAGTGAAATAACACAACGTACGCCTGAACTACTTTCCATCTACCCCAGTGACACGGTGGTTTTCAGAGAAAGATCATATAAATACATAATACATGCCTCTTTGTGTCAAATATCATTTACATCTTATCGAGTTGATGTGTTCATGGCGCAGACAAGAAAATAGAACTATCCCCTATTTATCCACGCATGTACTTGGAATCTAGATATGCGTACTGATGTGTCGATTCATGTTTGCACTGATGTGTCGATTCATGTTTGTACTGATGTGTCGATTCATTTTTTTACTGATGTGTCGATTCATGTTTGCACTGATGTGTCGATTCATGTTTGTACTGATGTGTCGATTCATGTTGCACTGATGTGTCGATTCATGTTTGCACTGATGTGTCGATTCATGTTTGCACTGATGTGTCGATTCATGTTTGTACTGATGTGTCGATTCATGTTTGCACTGATGTGTCGATTCATGTTTGCACTGATGTGTCGATTCATGTATGTGCTGATGTATCGATTCATGTTTGCACTGATGTGTCGATTCATGTTTGCACTGATGTGTCGATTCATGTATGTGCTGATGTATCGCTTCATGTATGTGCTGATGTATTGAGTCATGTGTGTACTGACGTATCGAGTCATGTGTGCACTGACGTATCGAGCCCAGCTCAAGCCATCTCCAGGGTATGGCGACACAACCAGTTGACGAACATGGTCTATAGTCAATTTCCTGTCCCGTTTACGAAAGCATATGATGCACTCTGCGCCGGACGTAATCTAACGCTCTCTCAGGCACAGCAATGTTGAGAAAAAATTATATATGTGTATAAGCACATATTTACCAACCCGCCGCGGACATTATTTTGTCGGATTTGACACCTGTCACCCTCCCATGTAAAATTCCCACATCCTATCTGCACAGTAACAATTTCCTCTGTCATGTAATATGAAAAGGATACAGCATTTTTTTCTAAAATCATAAATGCTACTTTCGAATTGCGCAATATTAATACTTAAGAAAGAAGTCGGCTGCATGTCAGGTACTCATATAAATCATCACTCTGAATGCTACCGCAGCCGTTACCTCACTGATATAAAACATACTGTGTGCCACACTTATCCACAAACATTGACTCACTAATACAAATGACCGCCTCCGTGGTCTAGTGGTAGAGCGTCCGCCCGGAGAGCGTTAGGTCCGGGGTTCGATCCCCAGCCGCGTCACACCAAAAGACGTAAAAAGATGGTACTTGTTGTTACCCTGTCTGGCGCTCGGCATTAAGTGGCTAAAACAATGACAGGTCGACTCGTTGTCAGTATGCTGTGTCTGAGTAGGGTATCCATGTTAAACTGCGGCATAGTATCTCAGAGCGTTAGCACGAATACAAGTACAGCGAATGCTGCATACGAGGGGTGGCTGAACAGTTCGGAGACTAGTGACGATGGACTGCCTTGGTGGAGTTGGTTGTTAATTATTTTTCAAAGTAATTCCCACCACTGTCCACACACTCCTGCCAATGATGCTGGATGAAGACTTCCTTCTGGGGGTGTATAAAACCCTGCACATCAGTAATGAAGTTATCATCATTGCATGCGATTGTCTGGCAGTTCATTCTTCAAGTTTGTCACAAGTTTGTGAATAAAGTTCATGTTTGCGTTTATCATCCTCAATACAGAGCCATGGGAATAGTTCTAATGCGTCTTGAGTAGATGTCGAGAAACCTTATAGCTTTTGGTTTGTTGAAATCTTTTACCAAATGTTTTGAAGAGTAAGTGAGTGAGTGAGTAAGTTTGGTTTTACGCCGCTTTTAGCAATATTCCAGCAATATCACGGCAGGGGACACCAGAAATGGTTTCACACATTGTACCTATGTGGGGAATAGAACCCGGGTCTTTGGCGTGACGAGCGAACGCTTTAACCACTAGGTTACCCCCAGCGCCCCCAGTTGCCTAAGAAGATGATCATAATATCCACCATTAATGGTCTGGCATTTCCGGAAGTGGTCGCAGGCTGACAGTGTTGGACCCAAGATGTATCCATGGTAACATCAAAATCAGTTGGGTCTTCTACAAGACCTGAACCGTTTCTGGAGCCTCGGAGCTAGCGTGCTGAATTTCGTTCCTTGTTCTCAACTTTCTCATCAGAGATGCGTACTATATTGGCTTTGTGACACGTCGATCACCCATAATCATATCATGTGAACCCGTGAAGATCCGGGGTAGAATAGGTCTTCAGCAACCCATGCTCACCGTAAAAGGCGACTATGCTTGTCGTAAGAGGCAACTAACGGGATCGGGTGGGCCGGCTCGCTGACTTGGTTGATGCATGTCATCGTATCCCAATTGCGTGGATCGATGCTCATGTCAATCACTGGATTGTCTGGTCCAGACTCGATTATTTACAGACCACCATCATATATTGCTGATCGCGGCGTTAAACAACAAACAAACAAATCATATCATGTATTTTGTAAAAAAGGTCCTCAGTGGTGTTAGTTGAAGGTCTTCCTCATTTGGATCTTCTTTGCGGCTCTCACTTCCTCTCCATGTCTCCGCTGCCCACCTCTAACACGTGACAAAGGAAGAAGCACCGCCCCTGCAGTTGACGCCATGTCCGCTGCTGGAGTTAGCCTATTCAGGTGGAGATACTTAATGACTGCTCGGTAGCCAATTTTATCCATTATCAACAGAGAATGCCTTGCCACTATGCTGCCTGCATAAATATGCTGCCTGGTTGTGTAGTTGGTTCAAATGCGGGCTGTAAGCAAGGAAAATTGTAAATCCATGCAAACTGTTAAGGGTTTACTTTCATCCTGCGTGGTTAGGCTCGGAACTTTTCAGCCACACCTCGAACGTTGTTTGCTTTGGCTACATTTTTGCACAGCTGCTGACGACGTTGTTCTGAGCGTTCAGCGACCCCTCTTT